GTAAATTCAGATCTCAGCATTTGAGACAAAATTCCCTGTTCAAGTCAAATTCAGACTGGAAGCAGGTGCAGGTCTGGCTTTCATCCATTTATGCAAGTCTAAATCTGCCCCTGAATCTCTAAGTACCTAGTCATAACAGGGTGAAGTAAGATAACACTGAAGCATCTTCCCCTTCTTCTCAGATTTTCAAACTTTAATCCTCATCTACAAATTTCCTTGACTTTCTTTTAATGGATTTCTTTCAGTCCTTAATTTTTGTGACTTTACACTTGTAAATTATTTATAATATGCTGATTTGACCTAGTAACTTCAAAGCCTGGTTCCTGAAAACACTTCAGATGAATAAATACATCTAATGAAAATTGAATGTTAAACATAGTTAATCACTTAGAGAGAAATCTAAATTATTTCAGTGACCTAGTGCAACCATGAGTTTGTTCTTTCAAATAGCAGTACAGTCTAGGACTACTGTGTAGGACGTCGGCAGCAGTGTCTGTGCCAGGCATTCTTCTTCTTTCATAAGTGACAATTACATATATTTGAATATAGCATCTTTTTTATTCTAAAGGATTCCAAAGTGTAAACAATTTATAGCTATAGGTACATATAAAAATTTCACCCACTGTTTAAATACCTATGCCACTTCTTTGAATAGTGCCCCAACGGGTGGTCCACTTCAGGTGTGCATGCACCTCTTGAACCCTTGAGATTTTCAGTTAGCAGTGTCTGTTTGGCCCACACATGCGCCCTACACCTCCTTGTGCCAGACACCAAGGCTATATAAGGGTGCTCATGCTAACCGCCTTCAGTTCCTTCTCAGCTGCTTCAGCCTGAGACAGAGCCTTAGCCTGTCTGCCTTGAGCATGCCTCGGCTTTTATCACTCTCTTAGAATACTTAGTGTAGTTAGTTTTAGTGTTATTATAGATAGTTAGTAGAGTTAAGTAGGGAGATGATAATTTTCTCCTCTCTTTCACTATGCGGGATTTGTTTCTCCTGGCAGGCCATGCCTGATTCTCTCCAGGTTTTAAACACTGCCTCTCCTGCTGAGAGGTCATACCAGTGAGCGACGGCTGCTCTAAGTGCGTTCACTGCTTGGGGGAGTCTCACATCTCCCAGAAGTACAACTTCTGTTTAGCCATCAAGTCCAGGGCGAGGAAGAACAGGGAGATTAAGCGCTGGCTGTTTATTATGGAGCGCTCCCTGGTACCAGCGTCTGAGCCAAGTCAGGAGACTCCCCTTATACATCTGTCTCCAGATAGATCCAGCATGCTTTCTATCTCAGCGCAACTTTCCCTTAACACCAGGGAGACATGGGAAGTGTCAGGGAAAGTTTCCAAAAAAGAGGAGCATGGACTATCACCCTATATCACCTTAAGGGGCCAGCTCTGAAAAATATCAGGTGTCTGACAAGTCTCCGAAGCCTCGATTTCGCGGCTTGGTGTCGTTGAGTTGGACTCCTCCTCCAATATCAGCAGGACTGTGAAGTCCCACAGCTCCAAGGAAAAAGGACACAGCTCCGATGAGACCTTGGTTCTGTGTTCAAGCAAGGAGGGCAGGAATACACATCAGGTCGGGCACCTTCATGTTTGGCCCAGATGTTGGTACCTGCGCATTCAGAACCAAGCACACAATGGCACCAGACACCATTGGTATCAACTTCAGTACACACCAATGGTACCATCAGTGTCAGTGACCGTGGCCTTGGATATCGTGCTGGTACTAATCCCTTACTCGGTACCTCAAGAATTAAGGATATACAAGGGATCTCTGGATAATGGATGAGCCAGAGTCCCCTCTTCTCATGGGTACCGAGTGTGTCTCAATACAGAGACACTGATCTCTGGATTACTGCCCTCCTGTACTGCAGGACTCTCCACCGTTTTCTGTGGGGTCCATCCCCCCCATTGGACAAGATAAAGGAAAATGAGGGAGACTTTCAGTCAGTCTCCTCTATTTATGTTCAGGGTTCTCTGACATACCTCTCCGAGAACCCTTTGCCTGACAGTTACAGGAGGATTGCGCTTACTACCAAGGGTGGTGGAACTAACCCTGTGTGCCACTGACTTCCATATGGGCTCCCCTATGGCCGCATTGGGACCCCAGGGACTGGTATTTTCTCACAGGAAGGCCAGAGTTGTTCAGCCCTACCCTCCTTCCCTCACCCCCCTCTCCGCCCCCCATAGGAAGAGACGTTTGAGGAATAGGAGGCTAGGGCAGATAAGGCAGCCACCCTTCAAACACCTACCACTATCCACCCTCCTTCCCCTCTGCTTCAGACTGTTCCTCAAGGGACGTTTGGGTGGAGAAGGAACTGAGGGCGTTCGTCTACATACCCATATATAGTTTTGGTGTCAGGAACGAGGAGGCATAGCATGCGTGCGCAGGCTGAACAGACGCAGCTAACTGAAAATCTCTGATTGAGGACTCGCTTGCACACATGCAATGGAGCACATATCTTGAAGATTCACAGTTACTGCACTGGCTGAGTAATCTCTTCTTCTGGATAGGCCTGAACAGCTCTTTAACAGTGTTCAATAACATGATACCTCAGTTTAGGTCAGGAAATGAAGGATACCAAATGCATGGGGAAATGAGAGATGGAATGTAGCTATTCAAAAAGGCATTTGGCCAGGCCATAGGATTAACATCCTGATGTTGCAAAACCTGCCCAGGATACTATGGTGATGGGACCAGATCATCTCTACTATGACAGGGTCGGGCCAGATGGCTATAGGAGAGTAATAGAAGGCAGATATATTAGCCCCAGGCTAAGTAGGTCCCTTTTCCCTGGGTAAGGTAAAAGGGAAGGTTCCAGAACAATCAGGAATCTTCTGGAGACAATTAAGACAGGCTGATTAGAACACCTGCAGCCAATCAAGAAGCTGCTAGAATCAATTAAGGCAGGCTAATCAGGGCACCTGGGTTTTAAAAAGGAGCTCACTTCAGTTTGTGGTGTGCGTGTGAGGAGCTGGGAGATGAGAGTGAGAACGCGGACTGTTGGAGGACTGAGGTATACAAGCATTATCAGACACCAGGAGGAAGGTCCTATGGTGAGGATAAAGAAGGTGTTGGGAGGAGGCCATGGGGAAGTAGCCCAGGGAGTCCTAGCTGTTGCACAGCTGTTCCAGGAGGCACTCTAGACAGCTGCATTCCACAGGGCCCTGGGGTGGAACCCAGAGTAGAGGGCGGGCCTGGGTTCCCCCCAAATCCTCCCAACTCCTGGTCAGACACAGGAGTCGTCGACCTGGACTGTGGGTTCAGAAAAACGGCCAAGCTGAGGGCTGCCGTGAAGCTCCAAGGCGAGCAAATCCGCCAATGAGCGCAAGACCCACCAAGGTAGAGCAGGAACTTTGTCACACTCCATAGTTAGCGATCTGACCACGAATGGTGAGGACTTTTGGTTTTCATCTTATGTGGAAAAAGGTACCTCTGGTGGTGCAATACCCTCTAAAATGATATTGGATGATTGGTTCCGTGTTGTCTCAGAGTGATATGTGCCACCTATTGAATAGCCATAGCTCCTTCCTGCAGCTGTGTATGTTTGGCTAAGCTTAAAGCTGGATAACTAATAAAATCACCACATGAGCTACATAAGAATACATATAAGCAAGAAAATATAGACCATCTCTTTTCTCCTACAAAATGTAAGGGCATATGAGCTGGCAATGATAACCTGAACCCGAAACTTTTAAAAAAAAAGTTTTTTGTTTTGTTTTTTGGGGTTGTTGGTTGGTTGCTTTAAAAAAAAACAAAACCTGCTGCACTTCAGAAATAACCTGCTTTATAGGCACATATGTCACATTCCTAGAAGAACAAGGTACTGACCCCATGAAGTTAGAATTAGGAATTAAATGGCTCTCTGTTAGCAGGACGTGATGGAAGTTGTGGAGTCTGGGGTTCTTGTGGGCAACAGAGGCCAGAATCGAAGTCTTTCCAAATGGAAAATGAAGCAATTATGATCTCTAATTTGGTATATAAGAGACCTGTGTCGCCCAAGATGTTCCTGCAACAGAGGAAAGAAACAGAGAGACTTTCCATCTGATTCTGCAGCAGAATTATCATATGTTTCATTAAAATGACACAGTTGCTTAAGATGAAAACATTTGGCATCCATGCTCAGCTGCAGAAAATTAGCAAGTAAATGTCAGATGCTTTTCAGCTCATAGGAATGAATGGAGCTTAGACTAATAAAAAGAATACATTTGGGATACATTCAATTATTGTCAGAATCATATAGTATGTTGATTGATTAAACAACTGTGCACCACATTATGGTAATATTCTTTTGTTACTGTGAAAGCACTGTCAAATTTTTTGCAAAGTCTTTAATTCTCCTAACTATGAAGCAACAAAGTTGTGTTATTTTCAGGGATACAATCTATACATCAACACTTTTCCCCATGCTTACTAAGCAGACACTGAATACAGCAGACATAAATTCAGAACTGATCTTTCTCTAAGCAGCATACACTGTGTTGTGATTCGGGTAGGAAAAATTTGAAAACTGTGATGTTGGGAGTGGAGGGGATTGTTCTTGATAAATTGCTGGTATTACTTATTCCAGCCAGAAAGTGTTAATGGGATTACTAATGTAAATCAACTGAAGATATTAATCGTTCTGATCAGTAGTTTAAACAAAGAAAACTCCTGCCCATAGTAGATGTTCAGATAGTTTAATGCTAGAATGTTGCAGTTAATTGTTGGATAGTACATGAAGCTAATGTGTTGTTTTTTTTTCCAAAACTGTTCCTTTTTTTTCTCTGCTTCATTGTAATCATGATGTTTTAATTAAAAATTTCACTCATGATTAAAATTCTGTAGGGGGATGCCCCCCTCACTCCCCACCTATATTTTATTAACAGTAGCATGGTAGAGAGTTTGTGATTTAGGCTTTAAAAATATACATTTCCACTTAAATGCTACGCATAAGGAAAAAACGACCATGTGTGCGTGCGTGCGCGCACATGCCTTCTTAAACCAGTTATGTCTTCTTTCCCAGGTAATATGCATGTGTCGCTGGCTGAAGCCCTGGAGGTTCGGGGAGGGCCACTGCAGGAAGAAGAAATATGGGCTGTATTGAATCAAAGTGCGGAAAGCCTTCAAGAGTTATTCAGAAAAGGTAATCTCTTATGCCTTTAGAATGCTAGCACATATGCTACTGGAGAAATGTTGAGAGCAAGTTCAATATCTTTGCTTTAATGGAGTAAAAGCTTGAAGAAATGACAATGTGTCAGGCGCCAATCTGGAGCGTCTGAAATGCTGTATATGAGGAGTTCTTTAGGCATTAAACCGCCCTGGGCAAACCTAAGGGTATTCTCTCTTCCTTCTCCCTGCAGCCATCCTCCTTTCCCCTTTGCAAATTTTTTACAATGTAAATTAGGCTCAAAGGTCAGACTTTTGTAGCAGCCTTAAGCTGGTCTCTGAAAGAGTACTTGTACCAATGTGGAGAAGTTGTATTTACATGTGCTAATTTTTGTACATAAATGTGCACATACAGCTATATGTGTAATTTTACTCTGAGAAATTGGACCCTACTTTGAAAATTACTTATTTCTGCAACTGTCACAAATCTGCCCATGGTAGGTCACCCTCTTTTAGACAACATTGGGAGTGCACACACGTGAGTCCAATTACTCCACCCCAACCCCAGTGGATACTGCCGGGCATCTTTTTAGCAGGCTGGTGCTCACCTTCTGGCAGGGCCTCTTGACAGTCTCTTCTGTGTCTCTGGTGATGCCACCAAACAGCCTGTAGTCAGCAAAAAGGGTTACATAAAACAAAAGTAAAGAAAAACCTGTAGGCAGCTCCTTCCAGGATATGGGCATCTCTTACTTCAGAGCAGTGATACTCACACTGAGGCTTGGGAGCCACAAGTGGCTCTTTAATGTGTCTCCTACAGCTCTTTGCAGCACATGATATTAAAACACTGTGTGATTTATTCATTAACCAATCTAAGTTATTAACCAATCAGGATGCCTTTACTATGTTATTAAACAATTGTAGAATATTTGGTCAGTCATTTTCCTGTGAGAATTACATATAAATTCACACTATTGTGGCTCTTTTGGGAAATGTTGATCGCTAATTTGTCCCCTGAACCATTGAGTTGTGAGTATCACTGCTTTAGAGGGATTGTTGATGTCCTGGGAGTATCAGTGTGCACTTCAGAGTTCACTAGGCTCCAGTGCAAAGCTGCAGTTCTTTTTCCCCTTCAACTCAGGGTGTCTGCACCTTCCTTCTGGGAGCATAGGGGCTCTGTAAGCTGCCAGTCCTCTCTCCAGGACTGGAGAAGCTCAACAGCCTATTCCCTTCCCAAGGTTTTCACCCATCTGAGTAGAGTTCCTTCTTTTTAACTCTTCCTCCAGTCCTGGCATGATTTGTAGGTGCAGTGGGGCCCAGCCCAAAACAGCTCCGTAACCCCTTCTGTTCTAGGGAAGGGTTTATTTGCACAGTCACAGCTACTAAATAAAGGCCCACTAAAATTTTTTTTTCAAGCATATAATTCCAAACTGACACTTCATATTTTTTAACAGAAGTGTAAAATAAAATGTAGGAATTGCCATATAGTATCAGACTCATGTTTTGTCTAGGCTGCTGTCTCCAACAGTGGCCAGTTCAGGTTGCTTAGGTCATCTCACATTAGGCAGATGTGGGATTTTCCTGATCTCTGATATTTAAAGATTGGTTTAAGCCCTGAAGCATGAGGTTTAATTTTCCTTCCAAAACTATTGTCAGTTAGGGTAACTAGGAATATTATTTATATCCATGTTAATGTCCAATCCTTTTTAATCTTGCTAAATTCTTGGCCTCAATGACTTTCTGTGGTAATGAGTTCCACAGTTTAATTATGCGTTGTGTCAAACATATTTCCATTTATCTATTTGAATCTGCCATCTTTTAATTTAAATGAATGAGTCCTTGTTCTTGTGTTACAAGGCAGAGAGGGCAGAAGTTCCTGTTCTACCTTCTTTCAGCCATTCATTATTTTATATACTTTTATAATGCTTTCTTCTTAGGCATACTAGTGAATGCTGTTTTCAGAAAGTGATTTGGACAAAAACAAACTGTGGGCCTAGTCTTATGAGTAGTCCTGCTGGTTTCAATGGGGCTATTCATGTGAGTAAAGTTTTGTAGGATAAGGCCTTGTTGTAGCATTTTTTGGAAGGTTCAGATAAATCAGAAAGTTAAGAGTTCAAAATGTGGGTCATCTATACTGGACAATAATTTTGTTTTAAAGGGTTACAAAGAAGCTTATGAAAAAACTCCTTCGGTTCACAAATGGGACAGCTTTTCAAATATATTTAAAGAACTGGAATAAATCTTTCAACCCCCTTAAGGCTTTTAATCTTGCAGTAACAAAAGCCTTGTTAGCCAGTTCTTTTAAAGTATGTAATGGGCAATAATCAGCAGGAATTACTATGTAGTGACAGTAGGATTATTTTAGAACAAGCATGATTTTCATTGAAGAGTTCCTATTAATTCCTTCCACACAATTTTCAGAGGTAAAAATGGCCTGTGGAAAATATTATTTTAATTGAGTTCATCTGCATAATTGAGAGAAGATTTTCTGTTTGTTGTCCTAAAGTGGGGTTTTCCTTTCTAACTTCTTACATTTTTTAAAGACCACCACCACCGACAACCCAGCCTTGTAATAAAAAGGACAGTCAAAGCCAATTAATCAATGCTTAGTTTATTTGTATGTCTGTACTTGAAAGATTTAATTAGGAATGTAGCGACCTCAAGAGTTCAGCGAGTTCATTTACCCATCTCCCCACACTGGGGCAGGATTAAGTACACCTAGACCCTCCCTGTTCTTAAAACCTTCAATGATGGGGCTCCACAGCCTGCCTAGATAACCTGTTCCAGTGCTTAACTATCTTTGTAGTTAGAAAGCTTTTCCTAACACCTAACCTAAATCCCTTGCTACAAATTAAGCCTATTACTTCTTGTCCTACTCTCACTGGATATGGGGAACAATTCATCACCATCCCCTTTATAACAACCTTGTACGTTATTTGAAGACTATTACTATATCTTTAAATACTGTGTCTTCTTTTATGTAGACTAAATGTGCCCAATTCTTTCAACCTTTCCTCATAAGTCGTGTTTTCTAAACCTCTTGTTGCTCTCCTATGGGCTGTCTCCAATTTTCTGCATAAAGGCACTTCATAAATTGTTTCCATAGCTAATCATTAATGGAAAAAATGGTTTGGAGTGTCCTATTTGGAAAGACAAATTTTAAAAAAATCGGCTCTGGACACCGAATTGGCTGCATGTTGTATGATAAGTTAAGTGGAGGAGAAGATCAGGCAGTCTGGTATTGCTAGTTAGAGTAGTGATAATATTTAGATTAATCTGTAGATAGATTTGAAAAAGCTGATCCTAGACCTCCTCCTACTTAATTACTTGCAACAACAATTTTGTTGTTTAGAGGGTGTCTCAACTGTTTCAGACATGCTGGGTCTTGCACCCTGTACGCCATGAGGTCAGAAGTAACCAATCTTTCAGGTGCAATATCTTTGGTGTATATCTGTAGAAATGAAAAGGGCATGTCATGTTTTTTGTTGCCAAGAAAAAATAAACCAGGAATCACCTGCTTCAGCTAGATAACTTGTGAATAATCACCCAAAGTTAAAGGTAGAAAGGACCTAATATGTCACCTGGTCCAATCCCATATCAAGATATATGTGGTGGGGAACAGAAAAACATGTGGACCAGGTGAAAAAAAAACGGGGAGCTGAGGTGAAACAGACAACCAATAGGACCAGGCAAAGTTGAATGAGTTAAAAATAATACCAGAGTGGAATGGGGAGAGACCAGGCCAGCTTGCGAATTGTGGCTGTATGGAAGAAAGAGTATGTGCATGCATTGCAATACAGTATTATAAAACATTGGTGGTAGGGAAGTAGTAATTATGTTTTTCTGGGACCTGAAACTCCTAGCTGAAGTCCTAGTCATACTATTAAAACTACTAGTGGACCCCTAATAAAAAAAATCTCTTTCCCTGTCTCTCCACTACTCTGAGAAGGGCGTTAACTGTAACAGGTCACAGTGTACGCTCCCCCCTTGTGCTATTGTAACTATGTTGCTGGTGTGTTGGGGGTACGGAGACAGGGATCTCCCTGCCCCTCTTCTTTCCCACCTGCCTGAACAAGGAGAGGATGCAGTAGTTCTGCAGAGCCTGTTTCTGTCTGTGCACAGGGAATGGTGGTATGGTACACCATCCACTCCCTTCTGCTGGCTCGCAGGATGGGGCATAATCTGGCCCTATCTAAAGACTTGTTGGGCACCTGCCTGACCTCCCGCAACCTGGCCTTGGCATACCCTTAAAAAACTGTCACATCCATAGAACAGGGCATTGAGAAAGATGCGTATTGAGAAACTGTTACATGGAGAGGCTTTTCTCTATTTTTACTATTTGCTAATGGTCACACACAAAAAGATGGGGACAGGTAAAACAAAATGAAGTTGTAGCTGATAAAATTTATAGTCATAAAGGGGACACTTTATGGAGGGATTGAAGTGTGTGTGTGTGTGTGATTTCTCTGAAGTGAGAATTCAAGAGTACCAGTCATCAACATCTTAAAAGTGACAATTTTTACGGTGCTGCTCAAAGTTATTGTGTGACTTCAGGGATTTTTATTTTAGCTGCATGTGCTTAAAGGGTTATTTCAAAATTACTGCCTTACATTTGTATTGCATACTGTTTACCTGAATAATCTCCCTGGTTTTATTGCCTTTTAAACCAGTTCTGTCTCTCTTTTTTTTAAACTGGACCACACTGTTTATCTGTCTTCTGGCAATGCTTAATAAACTCTGCTCTCACAAGTGTTTTGTTACCAAGCTGCATAATTCTGGACTTAGCTCACAAGGCTGGCAACTACAGCTCAGTAAAGACTAGTGGACACATAATTGATCAGAAGCCATACCAAAAATTCCAGTGGTTTTGAAAGGAGGATTTGGAGATGGTTTTTGTAAAGATTATTCCTGTATTTTGGTTAGAAGGAAGGGACCTCTCAGAGGATGTTTCCCTTATTGCTGCTGTTAAGAGTTCTTCTGGAGGAGCAAAACAAGAAGAACTTCAGAGCAGGCACGAAGAAGCTTAATAATTAGTGAAAA